CACTGCACTGTTAAGACACTTGTCTACATGACACTTGATATCCAATTTGATACCAGCTAACAAGACACTGCATTGTCATTTTACTGTCATTTGTATTATCCACTCCAAATGTCTAAATGCCCAGGTCAGATCCTTATAGGATAGATTGTTCAAGGAAGCATTGGTGACAAAGCATGTTACCACTTAGATATACTTTTCCAGTTATTTGCTTATAATACATGTTGTCATTATTTTCATATTTTGTTTTTATTTTGTGTAATGACCAGTGTGTTTGTTGCGCAAAAGCATCATCGTGTACAGTATTTCCCTGTATTTAGGAAGATTGGTATATACTATTAGAATTTGGTTGTAGTTTATTACAGTTTCTCCTCATTTAAATAGAAAGAGCCTTGTTGTTTACTCTGATCAAGCTGTTTAAGATCTGATGAGAGAATGTTTAAACTTCTCCAGGAGAAAGGCATTTTGAATTTACACAAAGCTTTATTCTTGCTGGCAGAATCTGACAGTCTGGCATTTATCCAAAATTTTTACAATATATAGAAACATAGAAGGTCACCTTTCAGATGTTCTCAAGCCTTTGACATCTCTGTGCTATGGAGGTAAAATAAAGAATGATTTTGCCTGTCTGGTAATCTTGGAACAGCCACCTCAGGGGTTTGAACTATAAGCCAAAACCAACTGAGGACCAAAAAGTAGTTTAACTATGATATACTGCTGCTGTCAAATGACAATGCTGTATTTTTTAAATCTCAAAAACTGAACAAAAAAATTTTTTTCCTGGTTGACAACCATGTTATTTCACAATTACAGTGATTAAAAAAAGATTTGTTGCCTCTTAACAGAGAAAATAAAAGACTGTTGAATATTTTCACCTCAAGTATCTTTCTGTTGCGCACAACAAAATATCAGGTTTAGAAAATGCCACTGTCTACTTTCATTTTTCATTTAATTCAATGCTCCGAGGCCTGTACAGTTTTTCCAGCCTGCTTCATGATGTTGCTCTTTATAGAGGAAGCACTGCCTGCAGTTTGTCATATGTTAATATTTATCCAAGAACGCATCACCTCAAGGCTACAAAATAATGGGGATTGTTTAAGAAAACTGTGGAATCTGTGGCTATTGTTTAATGGTTTTATATATAAAAACTGTTCAAGACATTGCCTTGCTGAACCATATGTTGAAAGAAGACCAGAGTGCAATGTTTTATATGTATGTATATGTACTTCCTTGAAACACAAGCGTTTCATTGTTGGTGGTGTCAGGGGAGAAAAGATGGGTCTGGTTCTCACAAGATTTAAGAATAGGATTTCGGTCAGACATAAGGTTTAGATTCAGTATGAAGAGGGACCCTACTCCTTTGGTGGGTGGTGAGAATGAGAGAGTATGAACTTATACACGTAGAACAACACTGCCACCTGTTGGTATTTAACGTAGTGAGAGTCAGAAAAAGTCCCAGCCACATTGACTCCTGTAAATCAAGTCAAAAGGGCATCAGGTAGTTGGTGTTGCAGAGCATTTAAGTATGCCACCGCTCTTGTTACCAAATCTAATCCTGCAATCAAATATCTCTGAATTAATTTGGACAATCAGTATTAGGAGTTTATACTTGCAGTATAATATCTTCAAAGGCTACCTTCTTGATTATCCATTACCTGACATTTCAGACTCTTAAAAAGCAAAATAAACACAATTTTTACAGTTTTTTTAGATAAAGCAAAATCAGGTACTTATAGTTTTCTAGTTTGTGGATCCATTACACACTTTAAGCACCACCCTGTCTGAATCATGGCAGATGTAATAAAATGTAGCCTACCACATGACTGTGTGTGTGTGTGTGTGTGTGTGTTTGAGTGTTTGACTTATCTTCCAATAAAATGATGTGTAAAGCATGGATGGGATTAATCCACACAACATTTACACTCCTGGTCGAAAGGTGGCGATATTATATCTATATTATTATTATATTATCCATCATGCTCCTCCACACTCCAGTCCAGCAGGTGGCGGTCATGCGCCTACACCGCCATTAAACCCCGAAGAAGAAGAAAAAGAAGAAGAACGAGAAGCAGCTGCAATCCTTCAATATGGCGGCCCACAGGGTAGCATGTTTAGGGTTGAATGCCCTTTATTCCAGCGTCTGCGCCCCGAAGCAGGTGACTAACTTATTATTACGTTGTATTTGGGGGGGTTTTAAGTGTTTTCATTAGGGCTGCATCGTATGGCAGGAAGGATATAGAAAGCAGCGTTTTTAAAGGTCGTACTCGTTAAGCTAATGCCAGTTAGCCTGCTAAGTGACAAACCCCCCTTTGATCGCTCGTTGATTAATAACTGCTTGTCTGTTTACTGTAGTCGTTTACGGCAAGGAAATACTATCACGAGTTTTGTCTGTGGCAGCTTATAGAAGATTTGAAGTCCTCTGTGGAGCTAACGGTGTGATGAAACGCATCCTCACCTGTGTTAAAGCCTTCCTTCCTCACACCAGCCTCAGTGAGCTCAGTCTGTGAACCGAGGCCAAACAGGCTCAAACACTAGATATAACTTGGATACATCGTAATGTTAGCCTACAGGGATAACCTCGAGTGGTTAACCGTGTGAAAGCTAAGTAGTTGGTAGGGTATATGTCAAGGAGGAATCAAGGGTTATGGTTCATTTCGTGACAACAAAATTGCTGTAATCTGTTATTAAGTTGTTTATGTTATGTTTACAAAATATACAGGCCTTATTTTTATTTTTTTATTTATTAAATACAGAGCATTAGATAAGAAGGCTAAAAATTGTACTGCATGCATCCAGTGAGCTACCTTGATGTGAATATGGACCAGCACATAGTATGATTGTGTAGCTAGAGCCTGCACAATCTCAGGGCTTCTCTTTAAACTTTACAGTCTTTCTCATGCTACAAAACTGCATGAACTAATGGTCGAATTCAGTTTGTTTAAATGCGTTTTCCTCTAATTTCTCTCAATAAAGTGCGGACAAATTGCAGGTTCTTCTCAATTCAAAATTTTGTCTCTATCAATATTGATTGTATTTGATAGTTAGATAGCTACATAGAGTAATCAGCCTTATGATCACAAGAAGAAGTGTTGGTAGGACTATTCTCATATTATCCATATGTAAATCTACACCTATATATGACTGTGACCAATGTTTTTGATGTACTCTCTGCAAAAAGGCTTTGCGAGCAGCCTGTAACATTAGTATCTTACATATATCTCTCCATACGTTCCAGCCGTACATTCTCTGTGTGCTACATTATTAATGCTATTAGCTGTCAATCAATAACAATGACTGGAACACTGTGCAGGCCCTGAGGAGCTGCTGGGGGGCGGTGGAGCAGGTGAGGGGTTACTACGTCAACTGGAGGATGCTGAGGGACGTCAAGAGAAGACAGACGGCCTTCGACTATGCTGATGAGAGGTTACGGATCAATGCGCTGAGGAAGAACACCATCCTGCCCAAAGAGCTGCAGGTACAATGCTGTATTTCTTTTCATTTAGTGTGTCGTAGAACAGAGCGATAATTCAGTGTTAGCATTTATTCATTTTCACTGGAATCGGATTGTGAAAATATGGTCTCATTGTGTTAGCAAAACTAGGTGTTAAAGTTTTTAACACACATTTAAAGGGTTTGGTCTAATGTAATGCACCACTGGGGAACATACTTCATTGTTTTGAACATGACTTTGATTACTGTGTGTCATTTCTTGGAATATTTTGTAGCGAATGCAGTGTGAAATCTCACTTGAAAATGGAGCCTGCATCTCTAAACAGCTGAACGTTTTTCATTTGAGCCAAATTGTCTTCTTTTTATAAAAAAAAAAGCAGTGTGCAGAGTAAAAGAGTAAATCTTATTCCACAATCCACAATTGTTATTTATTTTTTTGCAGGAGGTGGCAGATAAAGAAATTGCAGCACTCCCCAGGGACAGCTGCCCTGTGAGAATACGCAACAGGTGTGTGCTGACCTCCAGACCTCGCGGAGTGAAGCGGAGGTGGCGACTGAGCCGGATTATCTTCCGCGAGTTAGCTGACCACAACCATATGTCTGGGATTCTGAGGGCAAGGTGGTGACCAGGGAAAACATTGGACATTACAGTCGGATTGGATCGTGAAAAATCAGAAGAGCAGGACATCAGCAGTCAAGACTTGTTTTGGCCTTTTAGTATCTTAGAGGTATTGACTGTAATAAAACAGTTCCACTACTATCCACAGAAGCCTGTATATACTGAGGACATGCATATACCATTTGTATAGATAATGTTTGTTTTGGTCAGTTAGTTGCTTTTCTTATGAAAAACAACAAAATGCATAATATTTGAAGAGAAAGAGGAGTAAATGTCCATGTAATCTGCTGTACTCAGAAATGGATAAATAAATATTGTTGTATATTACCACCCTTTCTTCATATGTGTTTATTGTATACTAGATGCTGATACAGAAAGTAGCAATATTTCATAGTGTTATTAGTATAAATATGATCATGGAAAACCAGATTCTTCTCCACTATCAGAAGTTAAATTGTAGACTGACCAAGGAATCACCTATATGAAAACTGCAATATGTTATCCTATCCATGGTATAGACAAGAAACATCTATTTTATTGACTTCCCTTACGAATATACTGTGTGGCTGTAAGTGGTTGCTTCAACAGTATTTTGTTTCAGTGGAAGTGTCTTTGGCAATTGTATCAATTATATACTGAATGGTGATCAATCAAGTTGATGTACATGCTTGTGTTTTACTATTAATGTTAACCACTAACCTTAATTTAATATATATATATATATATTAGTCTAAATATAAACATGAAAGTAGCAATAAACGTGGTGCTATATAACTGGTGAATGAAATCTGCATTCATCAAAGTTATTTAGTCTGAAAGGCTAAAATCAGGCCGAAATAATGCCATGTAAATGTAATTATACCCCTTACAATAACACTTAGTGGATGTCACCACCGGGTCCAGTAGGTGGCGGTAGTGCACCCATAGGTAGGTTCAGAAGGAGGAGATACAGAGGAGGAAGAAGTGCGGCTGTGTGAACTGATAGAGGCATGCACACACACACCTCTGAACCTAACCCTGCTAACATACTGATATCCTAAATGGATCCAACCGAACAGGTAAAGACCATGTTTTGATTCCGTTCACTGTAAGCTCACATACAAACTACGGTTTATTCGGTATTAGCTAACTTAGCTGAGGTGACTCAAACTACATGATATCACTGAATGCAATGCTACGTTAAGCTAGTTAGCAAGCCACGGCAAAGTGGCGTCTGCTATTTTTTTATCTAGTTTCAAGAAGTCACTTACATTACTATCCAGACTTAAAACGCGCATTTGCAACCAAATATTAATATATATATTTATAACAACAGTGACTACTCTCAGTGACGGTAGTTTGCGAGCTGGCTAACGTTAGCAGTAAGTTAGCTTTGACTCGAGTTTACCAGAACCTTCGAGCAACGTAAGGTCGCCATAAGGTGGAGATGTAAGTAACAATGATTTAAACCAAACAGATTTAAACTAGTATAATATGTGTCATATACAGTGAGAGCCTAGAGGACGATCTATGTCCCAGCTTCTGTATTAAAGAGTTAGTTATTTGGCATATATATCGATTCTCCGAGCAGTACATTGATTTCAACTAAAGATAAACTCATATTTACCCTCAGAGGTGATATTGTGAATGGCGTCAAACACTTAATCTCACATATCTTAGTTGTTTTTTGTTAACAAAATGAAACTTTTAGCTGATACGGTTAAATAATGCCCCCAGAGGCTACACCCAAAGTAATGTTTTGTTCTGACCTATAACATAAATTAAAATTATTCATATTTTTAACTTGAGATGTGACATGCCATTTGACTGATTTTATTATTCAAATGTAGTTTTCTGTTGATCAACTAATGGAGAAACACATTCAGCTTTGACGAGCTGGTTGTCACGGATGCTGGTTGTAACGGTCTCAATCAGGTATTTGCATTTGCTAGTGTTGCTAATTCTTTCCCCAATACAGATCAACCAGTTGGAGGCAGATTTGTCGGAGCTGGGGTCACTCTTGGAGAAGGCGGAGAGGAAAAGAGTGCAGGAGCTGCTAAAGCAGGAGCAGAAGAAGGTGGAGAAGGAGCTAGCGGTCAAACGACAACAGAAGGAGCAACAAGCCAGGAGAGAGGCCGACCCATCTGCTGCCTCTAAAGCAACGTACACTGTCAAGATCACCAACTACGGTATGGTGCCATTGTTTAGCAACTACCAGTCATTTTTGAGACAGTGCAACAGTTAATGTGCTCAAGAGCTGAAAAAGTATTTGCAAGTTGTTTCACACCTTTGAATCTTCTCTGCAGCCTGGGACCAGTCAGAGAAATTTGTGAAAATTTACCTTACATTGAAGGATGTGCACAAAATTCCAGCAGAAAATGTGGAGGTCAACTTTACAGAAGGGTAATGTGATAATCAACATATATATTGGATACATAGTGTTTATCACAAACTATACATTTTAACTTGCTCTTTCCCTCTTTTGCAGATCATTTTCTGTTTTGGTAAAGAATCTAGATGGGAAAAACCACCAGATGACAGTCCTCAACCTGTTATTCCCGATTGATGAAAAGGAAAGCTGTAAAAAGGTAAATAAAGCCTATTGATCTGTCAAAAGAAGTGATGAGTTTTTCATAGAACTTGGCAAGTTGAACTTCTTATCAGTCTGAATTGGTAGCAGGAAATGAGGCTAATTAATTCAAATATTTAAGCCATAACACAGCATCTTAAATCAATTTCTGAATTTCTGTTGACATTTTGAAATCATGTTGTCTTTCTAAAGATGATTAGCGTACACTAAAGCCTTCTCTGGATGGATGCCGCTTTCTGTTTTTATGGTTGAACCAGCTTAAGCAGTTTGTGATCCCTACAGGACAGACAGTAGACTCCAGACCATCCCTGATTTACTACATTGATCTATTTAGTGTTTATGGCGGAGGTTCTGTTCAACAATTGCTAAATGTTTATTACAGATCCAGCAGCAACATAGAAACATGGGCGTAAAGTCATCCACTTTCTTGCCAACTGCTGATCAGTGATGACTTGCATTTTACCCTTTGGTTCAATCTGCCAACTTCTGTGGGAAAACAGAGCAGCAGAGTCTTGTTTTTTTTCTTTCGAAATGCCTGTAACCATCTTCGCTCCCTTCAACAGATAAAAACAGACATGGTCCTGGTCATGTGCAAGAAGCAGGCAGCAAAGAAGTGGGAGTGCCTAACAAAGGTGGAGAAGCAGTCTAAAGAGAAAGAGTAAGTTCAAAGAATGATTGATACATTTTATTTTATATTTTATTATGTTTAGATTTAACATTTAGATTTAAATTTAACATTTAGATTTAGAT